TCAGATATACACAGAGATAGATAATAAAACAAGGGTTACCAGGGTCAGGGGCCAGGGGAGAACCCAGGGAGGTCCAGGTCAAGGGTACAAAGTCACAGCTATATAGGATGAGCAAGTCTAGAGATCCACTGTACAACTTGAGGACTACAGTTAATAATAGTGTGTGTATTCACGATTTTAGCTGATGAGTAGGTTATAGATGCTCCTGCCACAAGTAGGAAAAATGGGTCACTATGTGAGATAATGAATATGTTAAATTTGTTTCACCACAGTAAACATTTTACTATATACATATACAGAATTTCTTAATATCATTGTATATCTTAAATATTATACAATAAAATTTATTTTTTAAAAAGAATATATGCTAGGGAAGTTATATTTAATAAAATTTTTATGATGACTTACTTGCAAAATGAAGCAACAGTAAGTCTTTTTCTAAGTGTTTTACTTTATTCCTGATCCTTTCCTTCCTGCTTAAATATTAAATTTAGGCTTTTTCCCCCTAAAAAACCCCTTCTGATTTGCTGATAGTGAACTCAACTAACCTTATAACTTTCTGAAATTTTGATAATTTCACAATCCTCACCAAAGAAACTGAAATCAGTCCCTCTGATATTCAGATTAAATATCATCTTAGGGTTCTCCTAATTAGCTCAACCAAAATAACCTTTCTACTCCTTGTGTCCATAGAATTTCTATAACTATCAGACAGACTAATCACACGTTGTTTAATATTTATGTATCTATCTTATCTCCACTGTATCATAAAGTTATTGAGGGTTGAACTACCCATAATATAGTACTCATAATATGCAGCATAGCACACAACATAACATTTAATGACTATTCAGGAAAAAAAATTATATATTATAGCATCACTTGAGTGTCTATTCACATTGTATCATTTTGAGAAATAAGAACTTAGGACCAGGTGGGGTGGCTCATGCCTGTAATCCTAGCACTCTGTGAGGCCAAAGAGGGTAGATTGCCTGACCTTATAAGTTCGAGACCCAGCCTGAGCAAGAGCAAGACACTGTCTCAAAAAATAGCTGAGCACTGCTGTGGGCACCTGTAGTCCCAGCTACTGGGAGGGCTTACGCAAGAGAATCACTTGAGCCCAAGATTTTGAAGTTGCTGTGAGCTATTACTCCATGGCACTCTACCAAGGGTGACAAAGTAAGACTCTGTCTCAAAAAAAAAAAAAAAAAAAAAAAAAGAACTTGGTTCCCAGGTGGCAAGTTTAATCCTTTATACTTGGTCAAATTTAGTCACAATTCATTACACCAATAAATCAAGCTAAATAAAATTATTAGGCAATCAATAAAAAGTGACTATTCTAAAAATAATGATACAGACATTATTTTTATTTCAAACTACTTATTTACTTAACTATGGCACTTATCGTCTCAATCACATACTGTGTTTTAATGGGCAATGCCATGGGGGAAAGAATTTGGACTTCAGAGTAAGGCAGAAACGCAGGCTTAATCAAGGAAATCTGATTACAAATTTACCTATGCATTTCTAGGGCGAACAATAAAACACATTCTATCATTCTTTCCTTCCATAGTTAACAGTGTCAGAATTCTCACAGTGACAGTAAACATTTATTTTCTTAAGAACTGCATAATTTTCCAACAATATGCTTATTATCTACATATACTTATTCACTTAATAAATGTTTATTGATGACCAGTTACACACTTATGTTGTCTGTTTAGGGAGAATATTATTCGCTGAAATACATTAAATAATATGTAATGACACTGTATAGCTGTTTACTCTGCTGTATCATAAATAACTCTTACTTTTCCAAAATCCCCTCTGTATTCAGCACAGTGACAGCAGATACTTAATGTTCTCTGGCTAACTGCTTTATTTTATTTATATGTTAAGAAAATGTACTTACTTTATTTCTGCTACATGTTAAGAAATTTCCCACGAAGCAAATACAGTAGTGATTAAATAAAGAAGTCCAGGAAAGAGGAATTGAGAAGAATGCCATATAACTAAAATTTTTACTTGACTACGTCCACAGCTGTGACTGAATTACCCAGTGAAAACAACCAGCCATTTTCCTGGTTACCTGTCACCCTTCTAATAGAAAATGCATGACTCGGCACCTGTGGCTCAAGTGGCTAAGGCGCCAGCCATATACACCTAAGGTGGCGGGTTCAAATCCAGCCCGGGCCCACCAAACAACAACGAAGGCTGCAACCAAAAAAAAATAGCTGGGCGTTGTGGCGGGCGCCTGTGGTCCCAGCTACTTGGGAGGCTGAGGCAGGAGACTCGCTTGAGCCCAGGAGTTGGAGGTTGCTGTGAGTTGTGATGCCACGGCACTCTACCCAGGGGGACAGCTTGAGGCTCTGTCTTCAAAAAAAAAAAAAAAAAAGAAAAGAAAATGCAGAGAATCAACAAAATCTGGATCTGCTGCCTATGGAATTAAGGCACCAGATCCAAATTGGTATACACCAATATTTTAACTGTCTAAGAAGGACAAAAGTATCTGCATTCTTGTATTTAACTCTTTTATTTTATTTATTTCTTTCTTTATTTATTTTTGAGAAAGAGTCTTACTATGTCGCCCTCGGTAGAGTGCCATGGTGAAATAGTTCACAGCAACCTCAAACCCTTGGGCTTAAGCGATTCTCCTCAGCCTCCCAAGTAGCTGGGACTACAGGCGCCTGCCATAATGCCTGGCTGTATTTTGGTTGTTAGTTGTCATTGTTGTCTGGCAGGCCCAGGCTGGATTTGAACCTACCAGCTCCAGTGCATATGGCTGGCACCCTAGCTGCTGAGCTACACAGGGGCCAAGACATTAACACTTTTCAAAATGAGTAAAGTCATTATGCTTTCAGTAATAAAATATAAATCATTTATTGTATTATAATTAGAGAAGATGTTCCCACTAGGGAAAGAAGGGTGAAGAGTGCATGCAACTCTGTACCACTTTTGCAACTTCCTGGGCTTATAATTACATTAACTTAAATTTAAAAAAAAATCAATGAGGTGATACAGTTTTAATAAGTATTGGAAATTTAATATTAATTTCCATATTAATATAGAAATTAAAACTGATAAATTGTTTTCCTAAACTCAGACATTTAAAATGTACTAAGTAATTTGAATATTTAAAAAAAAATTTGTGGGAATCTTTTTCAAAGTGTGAGTCCTACGTACAATAATTTATCACCTCCTAAATTATATAATTTATAAAGTGAAATTTGTGAGCGTATTTTATTGTCATACTTAAACTAGTACAATAAAACACGCTAATGTGCAGATATACAAATTAGTTTTCCCCTCTAAAGAGAAAAGCAAATACTACGAAATAATTTTGGCATAATTTTTTAACAAACCAAGTAACGGCTATGTATCAGATTCCTATTGTCCTTAGGCTAGTATTAAGTACTAGCTGGGGAACTGGGGAAAACAAGCTAGGAGGAAATACTACGTAGGAAGAGGAAGCCAGGCCTGTACTGAAAAATGCAGACCATTCAAGTCTGACCACATACCCATTACAACATGTCAAAAACCACCCTGTCACATGGTTGCCACTCATAATTCTGGTTTAAGAAACTGAGGAAAGCTAGAAGAATCTGTGTTGGAATTCAGTTCCCACTAAGGGCCTAGAGGAAAAGCACAGAACAGATGAAGCAGCAGAGGCCACACAGGCAAGGGACCTCCCCAGAGGGCCCCACTCGCTAGTGGCAAAGGAAGAACAAGAATCTTTTCGTTTGGGGGCTTCTGTAAGTGCCATTATAAATCAGCCTAATCTTTTATAGGTAGTAACAGTGAATCCTTAAAGAGATTAGGCCATAAACAAAAGAATAAAGTTACTGTAACTGAAAAATTCCCACTCATTCTGTAGTCTTCTAAAACTCCCAAATACAAGTACAGACTTTAAATCCACTTGGCTTCACATGTACATAGGTTATCTAAAGTTTTATATTTAAGCTTCCAATTTCACCAAAATACATAATTACAGTACCACCTATGTCAGTTCTCTTTGCTAAGCAGGGACTGGATTTTCTTAAGGCTTAGAAGTATGTACTACTGACTCAGCATAATGATAGAAAAGGGTTGTCTGAGTTCACCTACAAGTTATGAGCTTGTTCAATACGACAGCACCCAATCACCATGCTAGTCTTTAGTGGAATGTCATAAAACAATAATATACTGAAATTAAAATAACTAAATGCATTAATATTACGCTAAACCATAGACTATACACAAATATATTAATAAGACATATTGAAGCAGGTGATAAAAATAAAAAAAACCTATGGGCAAAACCTTAAAACAAAAATTAGTAACTTTCCTTGACTAGTGAAAACTGATGTATAAATTTAATAGTAAGATTACCCTCTTAGAGAAATAAAACCAAGGTCCTACTTATGTATAAACATTAAAACACCAAGTAAACTCCAAACCCAACCCCAAATCTCAACACTTCAGTGAAATTTAATTCACTTGGTTAAAATATATACATATAGTGAACAGGTATGATGGTTCACACCTGCAATCCTAGCATTCTGCAATTGTGTGAGTTCAAGAGTTTGAGACTGGCCTGAGCAGGAGTCAGATTCCCTTTCTACTAAAATTAGAAAACTTAGCCAGATGTGGGGTCAAGTGCCTGTAGTTCCACTTATCCAGGAGGCTGAGGCAGGAGAATCACTTGAACCCAGGAGTTTGAGGTTGCTATGAGCAAGTATGATACCACTACACTCTAGCCAGGGCAACAAAGCAAGACTCTGTCTCGGAAACATAAAAATAATATATACAGGTATATCTATCTACATAATATCCACTTTCAGCGGGCTAAGATATATTTCATATATTAAAAAAAAAACTCAAGTGTATCATAACTAGACTTCTATTTCAACAGTATATAAAAATTATCCCATATTTATCACCTATAATACATAATTTACTGGACACATGATTTTTGGTTAAACAAATTGAGAGGGAAATGATATATCACTAACAGACATTACCTTAAATGTGTTGCCTTAAGCCTTACATATTCTGCGGATACAGTACTTAGGATAGTTCAATGTACTTCTCTTGCAGACTCAAAATAAGCAGGGACCGGAGGGTTGGTCGGATCTAAGAACAAAGGGACTCAGTGTCAATGGTAACAGAACAATGACACCTGTATGTCTGAGGGTTGGAAGGTCTGTGCTGTGATACTGCTCCAACACCCAAATCCCTGCATCAGCGCAGATAACTGAACCAACTAGTAATTTCTCGTTCAAACAATTAAAATAAACCACACTAAGAAATACTGACTTTATTTCTGGTGCTAGACTTTGTTCCCAAAAGTGATATTCTAGGCCAATCAATGTTATACTCATTAAAGACTTGGAGGCCCAATAATAAATTAACCTCAAAAAATTCCAACCAAAGGGGGAGGGGAAAACCAGTAGTAGGAATGAACCACTTGTACAATAAACCCTACCTAGATGAGGATTTAGTTCTACATTTCTTCGCCACTGTATTTCTTTATTATCACATTTGGTTATGGTGAATGAATGCCTGAATTTCTTAAGTATTTGGCATTTCTTGAACATTGAGATTAGTGGAAGGATAAGGCTGGCAGGAAACATGCTGAGGGATTTTGGGGAGGCTCACCCAGGGGTTTCAGGAAAGCAGAGGGAAAAGAGAGCACAGAGGCCAACACGTGGGTGTGCAGGCCGACGTCCACCAAGCACTTTCTGAGCATCTATCTACTGGGCACGGCTCCTTGCTCCAGAAGCTAACTGCTCGGCCAAACAAAGTCTACCTTTACACGAGCCAGCTCTCACTATGCAATGCTGTTGGTATCTCCTACCCAGTTTTCAAGGATTAATCCCGTTTTCAGCAATTCTATAATGTAACAGACATTAATAACATAAGAACTCAGAAGTTTAAAAAAAAAATCTTGGCCCTGCCTCCAGAAGGTTCACACAAACAAACCAGCTATTAAGTGTTACAATAGTACCAGAGGGATACAACCAAGAATGCTCAGGGAACACGGGGAAGGATAACCAAGCTCTACATCGGGGTACAAGGAAAGGCTCAGGCAGGAGAGGGTGGCATACTTGAGAAACTTCAAGTAGGTGACAGGAATGCTTCTCTGCCACACAGGAGGGTAATCCAGGCTCAAACCACTGAGCTCGAGAACCAAAACCCTCACACTGGCCTCTGCGGGCAGCTGGTACCTCTGCACCCTGACCTCATCTCTCTCTGCCTCCAGTCAACCCTCCACTGTGCTCTGGGCATGTCCAGCACCTTCTGCTTCAGAGCCTCGGCACCTGCTTTTCTTAGTTCTGCAATTCTCACTCCCTTAATTGCTTCAAATCTCTGCTCAGATGTCACCCTGACAGAGAGGCTTTCTCATACAGCCCTCTGTAGACGGCAATCCCACCCACACCTCAATACACCAGCACTTGCTTGCCCAGGCATGTTTTTCCACAGCACTCATACCACCCTGGCAGTATGGGTGTAACTAATAGTTATGTCATAATAGTATAATAACAAAATACAGTATGTAGTGCATATGTACTATAACTTACGGTTGTTGTCGGCATCACTGATCATAATAGTTATCTATCCCCCCACTAGAATTTAAAGTCCTCGACACAGCTCTTTCATCTAGCACTGTGAAAGGTAGATAGCACACACTCAAGTCTTTTTTTTTTTTTTTAATGAACAAATGAATGGCTGTCAGAGATGAGAATGGACAAGCTGAAGCCAAGTCACACAGAGCTGGACACAGACTAAGTCTATGCTTTAGTGGCTCTTTGATAACAACTTGATATCTATTTAAGGATTTGAAAGAGAAAAAAAAAAATCATATTAGGGCTGGGCACAGTGGCTCACTTCTCTAATCCTAGCACTCTGGGAGGCCGAAGCAGGTGAATTGCCTGAGCTCAGGAGTTTGAGACCAGCCAGAGCAAGCGCAAGACGCCATCTCTAATAAAAATGAAAAAAAGTGAGGCAAAAGGAACACTTGAGACCAAAAGTTTGAAGTTGCTGTGAGCTATGAAGACACAGCACTCTACCAAGGGTGACAAGGTTCTGAGAGAGACTCTATCAATTTAAAAAAAAATCGTATTAGATTACAATTTTGTTATTTTTTTAAATTAAAACAAAAAGAAGAGAGAATTCATTTGGAAAGGATGTAAGACAAATCTATGAAAAGGGGTAAGACTGAAGTTAGGAAAACATTTAAAAGACCACTGTAATACTTCAACGGAGAAATATAGGCCCAAAATAGGCTTTGGGGGAAACGGAATTGAACAGGAGAAAAATGTAGAAGATAAAAGTGACTGGACCTGATGCTTAACTGGATGTGGAACCTGAGAAGACTGAGGAGTGGACGGGGACAGCCAGATTCATCCAGTAACAGAAGGGCTAAAAGCGTTCACTCAAACTGAGAAGACGGGAGGAAACACATTTGGCACTAAAGATTAGGAGTTAAGTTTTGGACATGATAGGGTTAACATCCCTGTGCAACAACAGTTGTATATAAACCCAGATAAAGACCAGCTCCCTGGTTAAAAACCGGGAGACTTAAAGATGTAGTACTTGATACTAAGATATCACAACGTACCAATTCAAACTGTATTTATATGCTTGGCATTCAGATATCTTATTGTTCCATGTGAAAAAAAAGGAAATTATCTTTTTCTTTTTTTTTTTTTTTTTTTGAGACACAGTCTCAAGCTGTCACCCTGGGTATAGTACCATGGTATCACAGCTCACAGCAACCTCAAACTCTTGGGCTTAACCAATTCTCTTGCTTCAGCCTCACAAAGAGCTGGGACTACAGTTGCCCACCATAATGCCCGGCTATTTTTTGGTTGGAGTTTTCGCTGTTGATTGGCAGGCCCAGGCTGGATTTGAACCCACCAGCTCCAGTGTATGTGGCTGGTGCCCTAGCTGCTGTGCTACAGGTGCCACCCCAAAAAAAGGGAATTATCTTATATGCCAGCCTAAAGTCCGTGCTTTGAAAGTCATTCATTAATATTTATTACACAAGTATATAACAAATAAGACTTGACAAACTTGATGGCAGCAGTAAAAAAGTCAAATACGCTCAATCGGAAATATACATTACCCTGGCAGATGAGATTCTACCTAAGGATTAAAAAGCAGTGCTATAATCATATCTGTATTAATGCTTCTTCCAAAGTGTGGGGATGCATTCAAAGATCACATGACTTGATTACTTCAGCCCATGAATGTCAAGAAAAAGCAAAATGTTAAAATAACACTTGGTATTATTTTTCAAAGTTTAGATTTTGATATTGTGGTTTCACAAAGAATGGTAACTAATTTTATAGTGCTCGAGATTTTAACATTAAAAAAAAACATTAGGGGATGCTAGCTTCTCTTGCGTTCACCTCAGTTTTGTCCCACTTACCTTCCTAAGTACAACTGAGAACGGGCAGGGGCAAAAACAATGTAGGCTTTAGAGGCCTTTATCATTTGAAAACAATATTCCCAATATGAGTGCTACTCACATTTTCTCTCATCTCTGATGTCTGCACATTCTATCAATATTCCACAACCACTGGCCCCAACCACTCCAAACTTCAAATTTCTCAACATAGGCACTACTTCCTCCCAGAAGTCCTGCCAAACTTTGATGTCTGAGTTCTATGCTCCCCCCTATGAAACCGAATGCACCAATACCTCACTTAAATGACACCTTGTTCAATGATCTCCAGTCAATCGTAAACATTGCCTTGACAAGAACTTTGCACACTACACACACAAGACATTTGTGCATCCATATGACTGAACAAATGCATGAATCACTGACTAAGCAAATTATCCATTTTAAACTGCCTCAACAATTCTCATAGAAATGGAATTAAACAACTATATTATTAGGTATTACAGGATACTCAAACTAGGACTACAGCTATTCCTATATAATCTAACATGACTATGTATCCTGCAAGGTTACTTGTCTAAGTGTTATGTTTCATATTATCTTTCTAATCAATGATATACTATTGTCAACAGGGTGACACAGTATTTCACTATTAAAAATTAAATGTCCAGATGGGGTAAATGTAATTCAATCCCTTGTCCACATGAAAACTACATGAAATTTCAAAGTTAAGACTTTGAAATTTCTGTGGTTTCAGAAAGAATGGTAAATAACTTCACAGTGCCCAAGATTTTTTTTTTTTTTTTTTT